CAGCCTCATTTTTGTCCTAAGAGGGAAGAATTCACACATGCGCCTATTTGGGTAAAAATACATGACTTACCTATATAATGTTATGGCATTTCAAAAATCTCAAGTAAAATATGCATACCACTAGCTGTAGATGCTCTCATTGGGGCAAAAACCCATCTCATTTACGTCGGGTTTGTATTCAAGTCAATAATAGTACCATCCACCTTAAAGAAACTCTTATATCCATTATTGGTAAAGTTATGAATATGAAAATTCAGTATGAATGGAGGCCCACCCCCTGCAATCATTGCTAATCCCTGACTCACTCACATGCTTTCCGTCCAAAGTGAGAAACCACTGTTCAACCTACTTCTGATCTTTTGGTTGCTGACAACACATACATAGTAGTAGCAGGTCATCTAGGGATGACCCTCTTCAAACTCTCTTGGGAACGGTTAGCAATTTACAGCCAAACAAAACAAATGGATCATCTCCAAAATATTACTGATTTTGTTGTGAGATAATTCCATCATTATGTTATGTTGATCTTTGTTATCAAATATCATTTAAGAGTTGACAAATTTAAACTCAATGTGTTCTTTTCTCGTATGCATATGATTTTTTAAAAATGAGATTTGAGTAGCCTCCATTACCTAAATTGTGTTGTTCTTGATTGAAGGGTACTAGAAAATTTATTTTGGCAGTGTTTAATATCTTAGTTTTATACAAATATCTAATAGACATAAATAGAATTTGTAAGTGTAACAAAAAAAAATTATGTGTAAAACTCAAAAAATGAGAAAAGTCATTAAGGCATGACCTAGTTGCAATAATCCATATATAATTAAAAATATAAGAATTTGTTCTTCCCTACAATTCTAGAAGACAAGATTGCATAAGTGAAAACAACCATCTGACTCCCATTATAGAGGTTATAAAAAAGTTATAGAGGGTGGAGACGATTATATATTATTAGTTGAGCAATGATAATGCAATAAAAGTTGAGTGTTTACAGTCAGACAACAAAAGTAAAATGACAAAGGCAAATGTTATTAGTTAGGTGATGGTGGTTGTGGCCGTCTACTGTGAATGTGAGGTAAGACAATAGAGTTATTTAATTCGCTTAATTGTCAAACTCCTCCTATGTACAAAATAAAATCCTATTTATAACTTCTTCTTTTTTGTAGAAGAATTTTTTAGTAAACTTGATCGAAATAGAAAAAAAAACACTCAATCAAATGTTCGATATTAATCATCTTAATCATTGGTTATTTATTTGGCATATGAGTTGTTTGGTGACCTCAAAATTGAATGATCTTAAGACTTTTTTGTTCATCTCATCAAACCGCTTGATTTGATTATAAACATAAAAGACTTGGAGACTGTTTGGTCCTCTAACTATTGTCCTAATGTTTTTAATTATGTTTCATGTGCTTGATTTGAAATCTTTCTGAATCGAATAGAATCATTTGTGGTGTCAATGGATTCGTTGTCGAGCCATTAAATTTGAATGTAAGTTTGGCGAAATTAGAGTTAGAATGTTTCTAAATTTTATTATGAAAGTTTTTAATTTAAATCTTATCTTAAAATTTGTGCTAATAAAATGAATTTTCTGTATTATATATATATATATATATATGTATAAAATTAAAAAGTAGCTTTGAAAAAATATTATTGTAGATATTATTAATGTTTTTATTAAAAAAATTAAATACTAAGTTTCACACTTTAAGGGAGATTTACATACATACTACTTTATATTATGCTATTTACATGTTCAATTTTCAAAATTTAATATTTTATGCCTATTACCCATAGATCAAATATAGGTGCAAAGAATGCAATATTAAAATTTATAAAATGATATGAGTAGTAGGAATGAAACATAAGAGTGTCATATTTGATATTAAAGATGCTTATGAGTGATAGACATGAAATATCAAAATTTTAAATGACAGAAATATAAATTGGTATGTATGTAAATCCCCTATTTAATAAGAACATGATATTCTCAATTTTTATAGGGGAGGTTTGATTTAAATAATTTGGATGTTTGGTTGGTTGAAAAATAAGTTCAATATAAAATTAATTAAATACACTGTATTCCATTTTAGTTCTTTTTTGATGTATTTGAAAATTTTCAGATTTGAACAATTTTCAAATACACCACAAATTCAAGACATTGCTACCCCTTGCTAGCCAGCCATCGCTGTACATCATCGTCGGCCACTGCCTCTAGCTATTACCACATGCGGGTCACCGTCGGCCATCGCTTTCGGCCACCATTGCTGGCCACCCGCCGGCTAGCCACCACCGTCGATCACAGTCTCCGGCCACCCTAATCACCGGTGTTCACTTTATTTTGCAATTACTTTATTTCAAATAAAAAAATCATCCTAAAACCTCTATATATATATATATATATATATATATATAGTAAAACTGTAACACAAATCAGTCCACTAAAACGCCGCCAATCTGCTTGCCTGCAGGCCCCTTCTTCCCGCTCACTCCCTCCTTCGATCAATCCACTTTCCACTTTTTCCTTAAAGAAGATTCATCTTTACTCACTGTATTTCGATTCTAGAGTTTATTCTTTCCGATGATTACCGTTGCTCTTTCGATTTCTATCATTAATTTAATTTGTTTGATTGTTTTCACCATTTTTATTTCTCCGACTTTGCCATGGAAAAGCCAATCTGCTTCTGCTCGCGTGGAGAGGAGCAAGCAGGTTTATTGCCTTCCTCATCCTCGAGGAAGACGATTCCTTTTTCAAAGTTGGGATTTTTCTACCTCCGCCTCCTTAGCGGCAGTATTTGTGAACAACAACAATTGATCTGCCTTAGGTCGGACCGCCTTTACACCATCGGACGGACGAGACGGCATTGCCAAATCGTATTTGACCACTGCTGTATCAGCCGGCGTCACTGTCAGATCTTTTTCGACGGAGCCGACCGAAGGCTCAGATTGGTAGACGGGTTCTTACTTTCCCGCGATTTTGATCTCGAAGAGATTAGGCGGAGACTCCGGTCCGAGCGCCAGGTTTTAGGGTTTAGGGTTTCTCTGAATGGCGTATTCGTAAACAGGCGAAAGCTTCTTGGAGGCGCCGTTGCAGAGTTGTCAGAGGGAGACGAGGTTGTCTTTGGCTGTGGCAGATTAAGTTCGGTCTCTCATTGTACGAGGAAATACGGGTTTGTGGTGGAGAGAATTATTCTCTCAGATTTTGCAGAAACCTTAGATGTAAGTGGAAAATTCGTGACCAGAGCGGATCGCCTTCAAAACCTCTGCCAAAGAGTTTTAAGAAGTGAAGATCCTATATGCTATCTGCGTTGTTCTCTAGAGTCGAATTCTGGAACGATAAGCTCAATACATGGAGTTAGAGATCATGCCTCAGCCGCATCATTTCCGGTTCTGGGTTCAGAGGGCCATACCAGACAGAACGATAAAACAGCTAATTATGTTCAAAATGAAAAGATTTTAGCAGTAGATCATGTTGGCAATGCAGAAACTAGTCCTTCGTCGCTTGAGAGAGGAAACAATCTTTGTAGTAGTTTCTCCAATGGTCAGTCTTTCTCTCTGAATAGACTAGAATTTATGGCTCATGATACTTCATATCAGCATACTGAGGTTACATTGATGGAGCTTCTTGATCCCGTTGAAAGCCTTGTCCAAGTTTTTATTGCAACTTTTACTTGCGATGTTTCTTGGTGTGCGCCTTGCGATATTTATTTGAATATATACTTCCTACATTGCATATTTTACCGTTAGTTGACCAAAGAGGAGTTTTACAGGTTTCTATCTTACTGTCAAATTCCCAACCATCTACCAGTAACAATTGCTTTTCATTCTGCTGAAAAATGCTGGAGTTCTTGCTGCGATGATAGGACTTCGGCTCCATATTCAGACTATCCAAATTTATTGCTTGTGTACGCATCCAGATTTGTAGTAAAGTCTCTTTAGATCTTACTAGGACTGACCTTTTCTTAAGATTTTTAATCAATCATTACTGTAATATCTATGATTAGTTCTAACGCTCGCAGATTTTGAGTCATTGCTTGTTGTATATATTTAGGTATCCTCCATTTCCAGATGAAATAGCATTTGGTAATGATCGTAGTAAAAAAGGTGTGGCATGCCATCATCCCAAACTGCTTGTTTTGCAGAGAGAAGAGAGTGTTCGTGTCGTTGTTACTTCAGCTAACTTGGTTTCGAAACAGGTGAGGCTCTGTTGTATCTAATTTTGAATTCCTTCATTTCATTTGAAAGACAACCAATATGGATGATACACTGATCTCTAGGCTTGAGCATTTTACTTGTTGCTTGGTGATATTCATTTATGTAACCTATTTTTCCTGGTTATGATTCCTTCTATCATTGCTATGCTGTTCGTTGCTTTTATCCTATTAAGATTTGGAGTGAAGTTTGAATGAAAGCTGAAGGAGAACTGAAGGAAGGAGAGGTTATAAGTGAATTTAAAATTGCACTTAGTTAGGCATGTTTTTTCGAGGTTTGAACTAATTTGTAGAAATATTAGCTTATTGGATCAGTGCGCTTTTCTAAGTGCTTCTTTTATAATTTATGCTTACATAAATTATGTAAAGAAATTTATTATAAATTATTTACAAGAAATTAGGCTTCTCAGCTAGTTAACGGGCCATTGTAAGTTTACAAGCTCCTTGTAAAGCTTAGCGCCACGTTGCAAACTAATGAAGATTTTGGGCAAGTTTTATCCCCGCAAAGTTCTAATGGTTTGCTACTAAGGTGGTTAATTGTTAAACCATTTTAACGGGAAATTGTTAGTTCCTTCTAGCCATTACATAATTGTTTTTTCACCAAAATTAGCCATTCTAGAAAGGTTCTTTTTTATGCTTATTAACACCTTTGCTACTTTATAAGTAAGCCTTAATCTTTAATATTAAGTTGTTGATGATGATTTCACTCTTATTTTCATATAAAAAATGGATGAAATACTAGAGCTTCATGGGTAAATCTTTGGAAAAATTTTGAAGTGTAAACATTCTTCAAGGATCCTTTAACAACATATTAAGGAAACTCCATCATTTCAATTGCTTAATTTTGTTGTGTGTATTACTTTGTTTAACTTTGCTATGGAGATTCCGGGCAAGTTCAATGGCTGAGAAGTTCTAATGGTTTGTTACTAAGGTGTTTATGGCTCACTATAAATTTTTTTTAGCTCATTGATGAATGTCTCCTCATAAACTTGCCCCTGTCTCGTGAAAATGACTTGTTGAATGTCTCCACTAGTACTCCTTGACCAGCAGATATTGAGTTTTTGAAGCTTCTCTACTAATACTCACTAGTTGTCAAATAAAGGTCTACCCCTCCATTTCAGCAAGTCCTTATGAAGTCTTTCATTTATGGTAGAAACACTCTGCTTAGTTAGGATTTCCTTGGGATTTAGCTCCTACAATTGCCAATAAGGCTTTAGTGCGATGATGTAGGTTTCATTGATACCATGACATGAAGCTAGGAGATGAATGAAAGCCCATGGAATTTGTTGGTGTTATATGGTATGAAATCAAAATAGCTACATGGAGAAATGTAATATGCATAGTCTCAAATTTTTTGAAAAACTCGATAAAGACATGTCCTTGTAGCCAGCTTCTTAAAAGCTTCCCTTCCCGTTGAGTGAACTTGTTGATAAATGATTTACATATCTTCTTCCTTATGTTTCCAACACACCCAATATAAATTCATTGCGTATTTATATATTGCAGCTTTTCAACAATAAGACAATCCATGTTAGCATGTAGATCACGAATAAATTGTGCAAATGGTTATATTGATGCGGGTGCTAACTTGGCATGGACTTATTATTAGTGGATATGTGCAATTTCATTCATCGAGGATTCTAAATTCTAACATGGTTTCTAATCTCCTTTTGGATGAAGTAGCAAGTTCTCCCAAAATTTTTTGATTGATTTGGTCTAAGGATGATAAATTATGAACAACTTAAATTTGACATCCTTGGTCCTCTGAGAGGTTTGACAAATCTATTAAATACAATAGTCTTTGAAGCTATGGCAGATAAAATTAGAGGTGCCTTAGATGGTTTGATCATATAAAATTTTGTTCTTTCGATGAGCCGGTTAGGAGAGTAGATGTATTAGGCTTGGCCTATGTTAAGAAGGTACAAGTAGACTTAAAAAGACATGGTTAGAAACTAGAAAGTATTAGAAATGATATTTTTTTAACTAGATGTAAATGAGAATTTGACTCTTAACAGGCTATAATGGAGAAAAATAATTCATGTAGTTGACCTTATGTAGTGAGATAAAGGCTTAATGATATTGTTGTTGTAGTCTTTGAAAGTCCGACGAGTCTTAGTCTTTGATTGAGACAACTTTTTGTTGCTTATCTAAAATCAACCAACACTAAGTATCACCTATTTGGATTTCACTGCATTTTCAACATTTTATCTTTAAAAAATTGCTTTTAGGAAATCATAATAGGAATTGTGATTAAATAGTAATTTTTAACTACAGAAACAGAAAAATATAAGTAACCATAAATGAGGCTTTAACCTCCAAGAATAGTTTAACAAGAGTGATGCACCAACTATCATATCAAATGGAATCAAAGTTGCAATCTTACAAAACCTATCTGCAACAACAAGGCTGCCATATTTTGATCTTTGTTCTTTGACCAATTGGTAGGTGCAACGTTTTCTTTGCATGCACCACTTGCTTAAGGCGCGATCAAAAGAAAAAGTTTCTCAATCCTAACAATGATTTTTACCTTTTCCAACGTGACTCGAAATACCTTAAATTAAATCATGAATAAGAAAATCAATTGCCGATGTGGAAGGGCACTTCTAACATAACCATTGAGGGTTTTATTTTTATTCTTATTCTCCAGGATTGTTTCATAGGTAATCCAATAAGTCTCAAGTGTAATTTTACATGTCGTTTTCTTTATCGCATATAGAGATGATGTAATTAGCTATTGAGACAGCTTCATATCTTACAGTGATGAACTTTATTGTCTGGTTAATAATTGTGGTTTCTACATGATTATGGCTTTTTCAGCAAAGAAATATTTTTTTCTTGAATTTTTGGATGATATTCCATGGAAATATAAAATTTTGATACAGAAATAAAAGTTTTGCATCATCTCCTTTTGCTGAAATTTTACGATTAACTTGCTTTAATTTGGCAGTGGAATCAAATCACAAATACAGTTTGGTGGCAAGATTTTCCTCGTAGAGATGCCCCTGATTATTCATCCCTTTTTGCTACCATTAAAGATTTGAAATCTGATTTTGCAGCCCAGCTAGCTGGTTTTATAGCATCTCTTATTAGTGATGTTCCTAGCCAAGCACACTGGATCAAAGAATTGGCCAGATTTGACTTTGGAGGGGCTGCTGCTTATCTGGTTGCTTCCATCCCTGGAATGCATGCACTATACACAATTTCTTCCGGAATTAATTTGTTCCAAAATGTAAGATATAAATTCATATATTCGAGTAGTGTTACAGTTAAATTGTTCTGTGATAATGATGCACATCATACTTATCTCTTTGATATAAAATGGCATGTATTAACTTTTTGAGCTCTTAGAACTTACCACTATGACGGATATCTATGTTTTTAAACACTTATGGAAATCATGCCCATGAAGATATCAATTTAATGGATGTTTTGATTTTATTTATAGGTTTTAATTAACCTAACTGAAAGTTGTTGAGTATTCCATATTGTATGGTTTCTTGATGAAAAGGATATTTTTTTCTTATATGGCTGAAGCTATTTTCTTTGTAAGCTAAGAAAATTCAAAATAACCTCTGTAGCTAAAATTTAAGTATTTTCCTAATCATCTTCTTCCTACTTTTACGCATCCCCTCCACTGCCTTTGTGAATTTTAGGAGCTCATATCGTTGAATTTTCACTGAATCTTGTACAAGCTTGCTTTCTACCGCAAGGATTGTGATGTTCTCATCCACTGGATTATAGCATCTACGGAGAATCCTTTGTGAGGTCTTGGTTGTATGCGATCTTAATCCCGGGATCCATTTACGTCCTTTCTTCTTGTTGACCAACATATATTTTCTTGAATTAAAAAAAAATGGTCAACCAAAATAGATTTGATGAACAAAAAAAAAATGATCAATCAACATAAGATATATTCAACCAAGTTAAACGTGCTTGAGTTTGATTATTTTTTGAGATTTATGGCAAATCTCCATGTTCCTCCCTATTTCCATGATGATGAACTATCTCACACAAGATCCAATACATGTTGCCAACATAAGCTTTTGGAGCGAGGAGAGGGTAATATAGTTGTGGATGGGAGAAGGAAAAAATAATAATGCAGTTGTGGAGGGGACATGTTAGAAGGAAAAATGTAAAACAAGAAGTTCATTATTGAGATCATATTTTGACTGAATAATAAGTTGGTGTTCAAGTGAAGTGTATTAAGGATGAAGATCAAAAAATGATTTTATTAGAAGAGGATATTCAACAAAGTGGATGAGATATTTTTTATGAACTTTTCAATGAAGATTATGAGAATGAGATTAACTTTCGTGACCTCAGCACCCTAAATGAAAATAAAATTTTTTGTTTTTATCAGCGTATTAGTAAAACTGAAGTTAGAGAGGCTTTAAAGAAAATGAAGTGTGGTAAAGCTGTTGGATCTTATGATATGCCACTAGAGGTGTGGAAATGCTTAGGAGATGAAGGAATTTCTTGGCTTACTAAACTTCTTAATATTATTTTAAAGACTAAAAAGATGCAAGCTGAGTGGAGAATGAGTGTGTTGATTCCTATTTTTTAAGAATAAAGGTGATGCACAAGATTGTGTGAATTATAAGGGAATTAAGTTAATGTGTCATACTTCAAAACTATGGGAGAGAGTTATGGAGCATAAGTTGCGGCGTGATACTAATGTTTTTCCAAATCAATTTGTATTCATGCCAGGTAGGTCTACCATAGAAGCTATACATTTATTGAGAGGTTTGATAGAGAAGTATAGAGAGAATGAGGGTCTACATATGATATTTATTGATTTAAAGATAACATTTGATAAAATTCCAAGATAAGTGTTATGAAGAGTTCTAGAAAATAAAGGTGTTAATATTGCTTATATTCAAGTCATTAACGATATGAATGTAGGAGTTGTTACTTGTGTTCAAACACAAGGTAGTTTGACCAAGTTTTTTTCTATTTCAATTGGATTACATCAAGGATTAGCCTTAAGCCCATATCTTTTTTGCTTTAGTAATGGATGTACTCACTAGACATTTGCAAGAGGTTGTACCATGGTGTATGCTTTTTGTTGATGATTCTTCTTCTTGATAAGACTAGAGAGGAAGTTGAAGGTAAATTTGAATTATGGAGGTCAACCTTAGAGTCTAAAGGCTTTCCTTTGAGTAGTTCTAAAACTGAATATATGGAGTGTAATTTTAGTAATAATAGATCTAGTGGAGGGATTGTGATTTTGGGTAATCAACTCGATATTAAGAGTACACGTTTTCTATATCTTGGGTCTATTGTTCAGATTGATGGTGAAATAGTGGGGATATTATTAGTATAATTCAAGTTGGATGTTTGAAGTGGAGGAATGCATCTTTTGTGATAGGAAAGTCCCCCTCAAACTTAAGGGAAAATTCTATACGAGGGTTGTTAGACCTGTAATACTTTAAGGTGCAAAATGTTGTCCATTAAAAGAAAAATATAATATTAAGTATTTGTTGAGATGAGAATGCTGAGGTGGATGAGTGACTTTACTCTTAGAGACATGATACGAAATGAGAATATACGTGAAAAAGGTTGGAGTAGCTCCAGTGGAAGATAAGATTAGAGAGAGTTGTCTTAGATGGTTTGGTCACATAAAACAGTGGCCTTCCGATGATCCGGTTAGAAAAGTATATGTATTAGATTTGACTTATGTTAAGAAAGGTAGATGTAGACCTAAAAAGACTTGGCTAGAAAATATTAGAGATGATCTTTTTTATTAGATTTAAATGAGAATTTAATTTTAACAAGACACAATGGAAAAAAATGATTCATGTAGCTGACCACACAGTGGGATAAAAACTTGATGTTGTTGTTCTTTTGTTGTTGTTTTGTTATTCCATTTTACAACTACTTGTTACTAGTGATTACTTTGTTCTTTGTGTTTTGTTTTGACGCATTGGGTATTATAAGATATGTTTTGCCTTAAGTATTTATGAATTTATACTTCTAATACAGCTTGAGCACGTTTTACCTCTAATACAGACTGAGGAGCACATCGTGCTTTCAAAGGTTATTACTTCGACAAAATATCTTGGTTCTGTTCAAGCATCCGTAGTAGGTTTACGCCATAGGTTTCATAATGCAATTGATTCAAGAGGTGAACAACTAAAGAAGCTGGCTTTATTTCTTGGGAAGTTTAAAGATAGTTCATCCCGACTCATGGAGGTTGTCCTGAAGAGAAACCACAATATTCCTGCAGATGCTAATGCTATTAGTATTTTGGTTTCCAACTTGGATGAAATGTCTAATGGAGGTATAGAAAAAGTCATTCTACTAAAAAAACTACATGTTGCAATGATGTTTTTCTCTCGAATTAGTGAAGTAAATAGATACATTCTTTTTCTAACAGTTGATGAAAATATTATTTATTAATTATCATTAATATGGTCTACACCAACTACTGGAGGCCACTTAGGTATGTGTTGCTTGCGTTTTGACATGTTTTTCAGAAGCACTAAGCCTTATGCTAAGGTTCTTGATAGAAATAATACTTCCCAGGTTCAACTTGTAGTGCTCGAGCATTGAATCAGTAAGAATGACACTTTCATGGAAACCTTGTTTCTCTATAAAGACTGAACATAGATTTAACTTTTTATAGGATAAACTATAATAACTATGACTGATCATTGAATGATTATAGCATACCTAATCTACCCACTTAATTGTTTAAGCTGAATTAAAGCTTAATTCTGTTATTCAAGGTACAAACTAGACGTATGACTGATCATTGAATGATTATAGCATACCTAATCTACCCACTTAATTGTTTAAGCTGAATTAAAGCTTAATTCTGTTATTCAAGGTACAAACTAGACGGCCTATATATACCAATCATATAAATAGCTTCTTTCCCTTGCTCATCATGAGTATTTGTTACTGATGCTTAATATAGATGCTATCTTACCCCATAGAGGCCTAAATTGAGGTGTATATTAGATATATTAGATAAAAAACACTATGAAAATGCATACCATTACCGATAAGTTTTTTTAATTGCATATTATATGCATAATGTTGAGTAATGCAATACTTACTTTATAGTAAGAAACTATAGACAAGTGTTATTTGAATAATTAATAAGATCATAGATTTAAAATGTTGCGATCTGTTCTTTCACAGAGAAGAAAGAGGAGCCTTTTAAGTACCTATGAGTCTATTTAAAATATTTCAGATAATATGTGATTTTGGAAGAGAACAGTACTGTTACAATGTTATTAGTCTCTCCTGATGCACCTTTTTGTGTACATCAGAGAAGTTTGAGGATTGCTCTTTGATTTTATATGTTTAAACTATATGATCAATAAGAGGAGGTAATTTAGTAAAACTATCATTGTTCGTCCTTAGCTCAAATCTGAGAAGTTAAGGATTGATATTAGGTTAAACACCACAACAACAACATCAAGCCTTTGTCCCACTACGTGGGGTCGGCTACATGATATTAGGTCAATCACCAATCATAATATTTATGAAAAATTTTGAAGTGAATACAAATTTAATGATTGAAAGTGCTATGATGTTTCATAGAGCTAGTGCACCCATGGCCTAACCCTAATGTGGTAAGAAGTAAGCCTAGGTTTCATAAACATCATCCGAAAGTAAAGAGCCATATGTTAATATTATTATTTTGAGAAATATACAAGGATTAGTTAGGCTAGTTCATAAGTGAGACTCACTAAAATATCTTGTTATTGATATAACACATCTATTGGATAAAAAAAATGAACTTAAAAGTTTAATTACAAGAGCCCAAATAATATCCTAAGAAAGTACTAAAGATCGAGCCCAATCAAGGCCAATTACAAAAATCCACTAATGAAAAAATAATTTAGAGTTTTAATACTTAAATTTTAAATCTAGCATCTAAAAGGTTTGAATTAAATATAATTAATAAAAATTATAATAAAAATAATAATGAATTAAAATAAATCCAGGATTAAGGATTTATGGCTTAATCCCGTATTTACTAAATCCTTCAGTTCGGCAGATTTTGGGATTTTGGCTGGAGAAGCGCGTGAGCAGGGAGAAAGTTACCTTCACTTCCAGCGAGCTCCTGGTTCTTGCGTCCGATCAAAATGTTGTAGCTTCCGAGCCGACGGCAAGGGAAAGCCGCAGAAGGAGCAAAGTCGATCGACTAGGGAGGAGGCGAAGAAGCGACGCAAGGGAGAAAGTTATCTTCACGGCGAGCGAATTCCGTCGCTACTTCCGATTCGACAGGGGAAGACCGTCGAGTGAGCGAAGTCGAGCGACCTTGAGGGAGCGGGGTCGGACGACGCCTGATGAAGCAGCGGGAGGGAAGAAGTTTCCCTTCACGGCAGGCGATCTCCCCTGTTTCTTTCGATCAAATTGTCGTAGCTTCCGTTCAGACAGGAAGGAAAAGTCGTCGGAGGAGCGAAGTCGTGCAGCCACGAAGGATCGGAAGAAGCGGCTGAAGGGAGGAAGACTACTCCATAGCCGGCGAGCTCCAATGGCTTCTTCCGATCAAAATGTCGGAACCTCCGCTCCAACAGGAAGGAAATGTCGTCGAATTGGCGAAGTCGGATAGCACAGAGGGAGGGAGAATCGTTCGGCCTCCTTTTCGTTGGCTTTTAACGACTCGAGGTGGGTCGTGTGATGAAACAACGCGAGGTCATTCGAGGAGTGTCGCAAAGACGTCTGCGACGTGCGACGACGTGCGCGGGACGACTACGACGTGCGAGCAGGTGAGGATTTGAAATTTATTTTCTTCTCCTTTTTTTTAGTACAGTAGGTCAACATATACCAATCATATAAATAGCTTCTTTCCCTTGCTCATCATGAATATTTGTTATTGATGCTTAATATAGATGCTATCCTATGATGCACCGACACGAACACGACGACACGGACACGACATGACACGGACACGGGACACGACATTTTTTAAAAATATAGAACACGGGTGCGGCGTGGACACGGCATAATAATTTTTTAATATACTATATAGAAATTAAGGTAACATTATATTAAAAATTACAAGCAATATTAAATCAAAGTCATGATAACTTGTTTAGCTTATAACATAATGATGTTTAGTACAAAAATGTCTAGTACTACCATAAAAATATAAGCAAAAAATTATTTAGTACAACATGAAGGTCCAACTACTCAATAGAGGGAATGATAGAATTAGATTCAGAGGTTGGTCTTTGACCTTCAGTATCATCATCATTGAATATCATTGCTTCCAACTCTGGTTCATCTAGAGAAAGATTTGCAATCTCCAATAACCCCATATCATCAAGGCACTCGAACTCATCTCCAGCAACATCCCACATCTTGTTATCACCTGCCATATAAAGTGGGGTTTTCCTTGATAGAAGACGAAGATTTGTATGCACATAAACTAAAGCATCAGCCCGTTGTGAAGTTATTTTATTTCTCTTCATTAATTGAATAAATGAGTATGTGCTCCAATTTTTCTCACAATAGGAAGAGGATGATACTTGACCAAGAAATTTTATTGGGCCAAACAATGCAGAGGTGTGTTGCTTTTGGTCCACCTATCCTCAAGAATGGTATAAAACAATGCTCCAAAAACTTAAGCCTTCATTATGTGATTTTCTTTTATATCTATATATAATTTCTTTTACTTTTGTCAACATAGAGTTCCACATCTCATAAATCAAATGTAGGCATGATTTATCTGTGTCAGCCTCTCTTAACATGTCATAAATCAGATCAGTGAAAGCCAAAATGTAATCTATATCATCCCACCACAAATCATCTAAGACCTTATCTTTCACATATCTTGCTTTCCCAACATCATCTTCTCGATAGCAAGACCACTTCTCACTAATCACCATAGATTGAAGGGCATTTTTTATTTGTTTGAATCTTCTCAACATAATTATTACAGAGGCAAAACGAGTTTCAGTAACAGCTAACATTCTCAAATGTGAGAAATCATTAAACATTAAAAGTCTCATTGGTGGTTCATAATGAAATTTCTAATCAAAATAGCATCACTTGCAACTACTGTTATCCAATGACATTCAGCATAGATGATTTCATTTGCCTCTGTATTCTTTGTTGCACAAATACTTTTTAGAGCAAGATTTAAAGTGTGCACAACACATGGAGTCCAGAATATATGAGGATAAGTTTGCTCCACCAACAATCCTGCAGCTCTACACACCAGTGCATTATCTGTTATAACCTGCACAACATTTGAAGGCCCAATAATGACTATCACCTCTTTAATCAAATTGGCAATGAAATATTTATCCTTGTATTTTCCTTCACAATTCATAGCTTTAATAAACATTGGGCAATTTTCTGTAATGGCCATAAAATTAATGAGTGGTCTTCTTTGAGGATCAGTCCAACCATCACATATCAAAGTGACTCATTTTTCTTTCCACACACATTTTGTTGGTTCAAGCAATGTTTTAATATGTGCTCTTTCTCTTTCTAATAATTTTGATCTTAATGCATTGTAGCCAGGTGGAACATAACCTGCAAGGTTGTTATTACATGCAAAAGTGAATGCATTTTTGTAATGAGGATTTCTTGCAAGATTGAAAGGAAGTCCAGCTGAAAAAAACATTCTTGCTATTTCACCATCCAATTCTTCTCGCAGCTGCATGTTAAAAGCCTTCTCTAAAGCACTACTGGTAACTCCTTTTCTTTTCTTTGAATCATATCCTTCACTTCTATATGATAACGAATGATCAACTCTAAAAGATGAGGAAGAAGTGTGGGATGAACCATGGATAGATGGCAAATATATCTCTTTAGGAAGTGCCATTTTAATCCTAGATTCAACTTCATCAACTTGTCTATTCAATTCAATCAACTGTGATGTAGGAATCTTAGGACACATTTTAATTCCATGGCCAGAAATCTTAAGAATATGTGCTTTCACCCTAGAATAAGATCCTTTGTAGGTTCCACTACAATAATTGCATTTAAATGACACATTCCAGAATGACACATTCCCTCCTCCTTCAAAAGTTTTTCCTAACTTTGTAACATGAATCTATAATGGCTTATCAGTTTCTACAGATGGCTCTTTTGAACCACTCCCACCAGCATTAGAGCTCATTTTGCTTTTAAAATCACTGGTGAAGTAGAAGAAATAAAGACTTATTGTAAAACAATTAAAAATTGCCAAACAAAGTAAAAAAAAAACAATTAAAGAACTATTGCATCATGCGTTATGACTATCTGATTAAAAAACAATTAAAAAATTTGCAACTATGTCGAGGGTCCAAGGGGGCGCTTCCCCCTGGCGGGGTTCGACCTTACAAATTTTTATTGTAAGAGTAAAAGCGTAGTGAAAGCGCAACAAAAGCGCACTTAAAACGCAGTTAAAGTGCACTTAAAGCGCAGTTAAAGCGCAACAAAAACACAGTTAAAGTGCACTTAAGGCGCAACAAAAGCACAGTTAAAGCGCATTAAATAAATAAATTTTTATTGTAAGAATAATTTTAATCCAAAACAAATAAAATACCTAAAAAAAATGCTCTTCTGATCACAAATCTACAAAAACATTGATAAATGAAGAGAAATGGAAAATGGAAAAAAAAATGACAAAATCAACTTACAAGTTTGAAAAAGTTTTTGCGGTTTGGCGTCGACTTCCCTTGGCTTCACCCAGAAACTAAGGAGTATGACTTGTTGCTTACGGTCGTAAGGGAAGACCAAGGGTGCGATCGCCAGCCGACCGCTGCTCGCCTCAATCGCTCGGGAAGACCACGAATACGAATAGGGATGTGGAGTTAAGGAGAAGATGAAGACTCAGGCGTGAACCGGCTAATATGAAATAGTGGGATTAGGTTTTTTTTATTTATTTAATTATATAATATCCGGACACGCGTGTCTGGTTTATTTATTTATTTTTTTTAAATGGGACACACTAGTGAGGTGTCCGACACGTGTCCTCGCTGTGTCGGATGCGTGTCCGTGTCCGACACTGCATACCCTCTTAAAACGAAGTGTCGGTGCATCAGAAATGCTATCTTACCCCATAGAGGCCTAAATTGAGGTGTATATTAGATAAAAAAAACACTATGAAAATGCATACCATTACCGATAAAGTTTTTTTGATTGCATATTATATGCATAATGTTGAATAATGCAATACTTACTGTATAGTAATAAACTATAGGCAAGTGGTATTTGAATAATTAATAAGATCATAGATTTAAAATGTTGCGATCTGTTCTTTCACAAAGAAGAAAGAGGAGCCTTTTAAGTACCTATGAGTCTACTTAAAATATTTCAGATAATATGTGATTTTTTGAAGAGAACAGTACTGTACCAATGTTATTAGTCTCTCCTGATGCACCTTTTTGTGTACATTAGAGAAGTTTGAGGATTGCTCTTTGATTTTAGATGTTTAAACTATATGATCAATAAGAGGAGGTAATATAGTAAAACTATCATTGTTTGTCCTAAGCTCAAATCTGAGAAGTTAAGGATTGATATTAGGTTAAACACCACAACAACAACATCAAGCCTTTGTCCCACTACGTGGGGTCGGCTACATGATATTAGGTCAATCACCAATCATAATATTTATGAAATTTTTTGAAGTGAATACAAATTTAATGATTGAAAGTGTTATGATGTTTCGTAGAGCTAGTGCACCCATGGCCTAACCCTAATGTGGTAAGAAGTAAGCCTAGGTTTCATAAACATCATCCGAAAGTAAAGAGCCATATGTTAATATGATTATTTTGAGAAATATACAAGGATTAGTTAGGCTAGTTCATAAGTGAGACTCACTAAAACATCTTATTATTGATATAACACATCTATTGGATAAAAAAAAAGAACTTAAAAGTTTAATTACAAGAGCCCAAATAATATCCTAAGAAAGTACTAAAGATCGAGCCCAATCAAGGCCAATTACAAAAATCCACTAATGAAAAAATAATTTAGAGTTTTAATACTTAAATTTTAAATCTAGCATCTAAAAGGTTTGACTTTTCTCTGGGAACATGTATGTGTTTGTAGTTTAATGATGATAAGATAAATTAATCACTTTCTTCCATTAGTTACCATCTATTCACTTTTCATCAAAAAATTTCTTTTATTTTTGAATTTTGATAACCATTGTAACTCTATAAGTAATTATGGTATGTAGTAAGAAATTTTAAGTTTTGAATAAAAAGAAAATTTTGGGGGAATTTATTCTCTTTGGGCTAGTGCTTGGTACCCTACTTTGACCAACCTTGATGGGATTAGGTAGTTATTATTGTTACTCTTCTTAATTTATTTTCTAAATCTTTTTGGCTTCTTTTCTCACACCTTATCCATTTTTTAAGACCAATCATCCGCAACTCGAGTCTTAAAAGGTCATTCAAACCCTTTTCAAGACCCTTGGTTTAGTTTAGGCTCTCATGCACCCACTATTATTCTCTATAGAACTATAAGATCTTTAACCTCACAAAAAATTTATAATATACTTAAGATCATAAGTTTACATCCTAATCTTTATCATTCACCATTATTTCCAGCCATTTATCATACTCAAAACTCATTCCCTAAATTAAACTTGCAAATGAGCTTAAACTAGCCCCAACAGAACTAGTCTTGGCATTCTTTTGACCATACCCCTCCAAATCCCTCTTCACTCCACCAAAAAAAGCCAAATAACTTTTTTATTAAATAAACTAAATATTCATAAAAATTTTCAATAACTAATCCCACTAAAAAGGCATCCCATATTCATCATATATTGTATCAAAGCAAAGTCTGGAAGGATAAATTTTGGTCTTAATTTTTTTCCACATAAAGGAAGCTTTCTTGTGGTAAACTTGCCTTCAAACTTATGAGTTATTTTAGAACTTTTGAGGTAATTTTTTTTTTATCACAGTCTAAATTTATATTATTAGCATAAAAAATGAAAATTATTACTTGTAAGTGTATGGAAAGAACAATAAATTTCAACAAGTGTGCCCAACCAAATAGTTTAACCTTTTCTGCCTTGTGTCAACTTATCTTAAAAAAAATGTCTCTTGAGAGAACACTTTAGTGAGAGAGTGCTCCCCACTTCAAAATAACCTCACAATTGATGCAAATTTAAATTTTATTATTATTATTATTTTGTTTTCTTTGTTAATGCTTATGAGTAACTATCAAAGTTTATTTGGATTAACTTGTAATAATTTGCTTTCTTAGGAACCAGAGGCTTGGTAGTCTTAATCATTTTTCTTACATTTAAAGTTTAAGGATATAAGTGTGATGTAATTGTACTAAACTTGGTATTTTTATGGCTAAGTAAAATTTTTGCCAAAAAGTCAAAACTGTTTGTGAGCTCGGGGTTTAAGAGGTCTTGCACCCCCCTCCTTACCTAGAAGTTTTCTTAGCTTGAAAATTCAATTTTATTATACATTTATATTATCTAATACCCTTTCACTCTCATCTCTTTTCATATTTTTAAATTCATCGACGTGGCACCTAGATCGATTTCTCAGGACCAAGTTAAAAATTTGATCAGGATAGTAGATGCCTTAGACTTTAAGATCCTTTAAAATGATTTAAAGACTCAAGAAATTAAAAAACCAATTAAGAATCAAATTTAAAAACTTAGAGAACAAATGCAATCTCTCATGGATTATTACATAATAATGAAATCTTAATTCCACCTCTAGTAACTACTCAAATTGTACCTATATTTAATGCTTCTTCAATTTTCTTTGTCAAAATAGTTTTGTATTTGCTAAAATGGTGCATTTATCAAAGAACTATTTATGCATTGTGCTTCAAAATTCCAACAAATTAATCACTAGGTATGAGCGATGGTTGAGCTTCCCTAGCTACTTGAGCTTTTTAGTGGTCTTTTGATTTGACCTTCAAAATATAAGTTTGTTCTAATTCATACTCAAGTATTCATTAAATTCATATAACTTACAGACGGTTGATAAGCATGTTGGATAATAATTATAAAATAATTACAATAGTTTACAGACATTTGCCTGTCTTAATTCCAGAGATCACTGAGGTGATATGAGGGTGGAAGACTGCTTGGGAATACTTGAGGGAATTCAAGTAAACCCTAACAAGAGAGAAGAAAATAGCAAACGAACACAATTTGGATGGAAAATTTCAGCAAAACAGCACCTTTGGTTGAAGAAAATCAACTAGAACGAAGAAACGAAGCAATATACAATTGATCCACTATTGGAGAGGAGGATCTTCTCTCCCAATCCCTAGATGAAATCTAGGGCCCAAGACTCCAAGGCAAGAACTCCCAAAATCAGTAACAAAACATCCATAATCCTAACCCTAAACAACTCATACTATTTAATACATTAATTCCCTAATTCAAATTTCCCTCCCATGCCTACCCCCCCCCTTCTTTCTCTAATTGGCTCCTAGTGGGGCCCAGTTGTTTGGGCGGCAACAACAGCAAAGGAGACGGCATTTGTCTGCCTCTTGTAAACAAGAGCCGGCTATGCCGATTCAGCCTGGACCGGCCTAACAAAGACTGCTGAGCTTGATGGAACATTGCTATAGGTGGAAGCGATGTAGATTGATTTTTTTCACAATAACCATGATATTGCTCGTCTAACTTGACCAGCTTTGGTAAAGAAAATTACTTTACCTACTTAATTGCAAGGATCATCGTCTATATATATAATCTTTTACACTTCAGTTATCCTACCAAGGCATTCTAATAAATAGAGCTATAATAACATCCCTTGATATTTGGGTAGCAATTGCTAACCTTCCATCCTGAACTGAGCGGCAGTTTACAAATATAGTTCCTTCAGTTTGGCATGGCTTTTGCATAAATTATGCTTAAAAAAGTGAAGATACTAAGAGAAACGGTTGAATAATTCTCACTTTTCAACTGTATTTGAAAATTTTTATGCAGGTTAAGATGACGTATTTTTTGCAATTCTCCTTCTAGCATTCGTTAAATAATTTTTTTGTTTTAATATTTATATTTACTTGTACTTTCTAATCCTTTCACTACTCTCTTGTATTAGACTCTGTCCAACTTGGTTTTCTTCCAAGAGATGTCGCAAAGTGGGCAGCCCCTCTTGTTGATCATGGGTTCTTAGAAATTGCAGCATTTGTATGTCCTAAGGAAGCCCTAGCTGCTGCGTTAGATGGAAATAATACAAAAGTAAAATGCTTACTATCCATAGCACAGGCATGTTTCTTTTTTATTTTAATATATGTTTTAATTCTCTTAGTTTTTCTTCTGAAAATGGTTCTACAGATTTCCATTTCAAGTTCCTCACATTTGAGATTCAAATCATGCGAAAATGACGGGAAAATTATGCAATGCAGGGGCCAAAGTTTTCTGAAATGTCAAGATTAATTCAAGCTGAACACTTACCTGCTTTATGCTTATTTATTGCATCCATCCAACGGTGCCTTGGTCTGTGGCGCCTGAAAGAGGTATCCACAACACCCTTCATATTAGTACCCTGTCAGGGAATTAATTAAATCTTATATTTCTCCATCGTTGAACATTCCTGATTTCTTAGTTGCTTCTTAAAATTTTGGTTTTAAGCTTACATTTTATCAGGTTTGATTGTGATTAACCATTATATTTCTTCCATAATTTTGCCTAGATAACTAACCATAGCTCTTCCCTTTCGTAAATCTTGAAGTGTTTAAACAAGTGATATTCACATTCAAGCAAATATGAAAACCACAGTTTTCAAGATGACGCTAATGGTAACGGACAGTTGAAAGTTTCTTTTAAAAGGGGAAAAACATCCCCTGCCAGAACCTCATTTTTGTCTCACAATTTTTTCTAAGAAATTTTAGCATCTTATGCCTGTGATGTTAGTGATTTTTCTTGTTTTAAGTTGTGCTTTTACCTCCATTGTAGAGTATCTTGTCAACAAGGCTACTGTTCTCTAGACTTTTTTATAAATATTTGGATACATACATTTGTAAGTTTTTCTTGCCTGAAGTAATTCTGCACCTCAAATGTCTGGTGGATGTCACCGACGTTTAAAATTATGCAAGTGGGTATTAAGACATTTTTTTCGTTAATAAGTGTACTCATTTTAGATATCTTGGGTCTATTGTTTAGAATGATGGTGAAATAGATGGGGATTTATTAGTAGAATTCAAGTTGGATGGTTGAAGTGAAGGAATGTTTTGGGTTTGTTGTGTGATAGAAAAGTACCACTCAAACTTAAGGGAAAATTTTATATGATGATGGTGAGACCTGCAATGCTTTATGGCACAGAATGTTGGTTATTAAAAAAGAAGCATAACATTAAGTTAAGTGTTGTCGAGATGAGGATGCTCAGGTGGATGAGTGGATTTACTCTTAAAGACAAGATAAGAAACAAGCATATCTGTGAAGTGGACTAGCTCTAGTGGCAGATAAGATTAGAGAGAGTTGCCTTAGATGGTTTGGTCATATTAAGCGGCGGCCTTTCGATGACCCTATTAGGAGAGTAGATGTATTAGATTTGTCCTATGTTAAGAAAGGTAAATGTAGACCTAAAAAGACTTGGTTAGAAAATGTTAGAAATGACCTTTATTTATTAGATTTAAATGAGAATCTGACTCTTAACATGACGCAATGGAGAAGAAAGATTCTTATAGCCAACCCCATGTAGTGGGATAAAGGCTTAATGTTGTTGTTGTTGTTGTTGAAGCTTCATAATCAAGAGTGTTCTCTAACATGTCTGGATGTAATTAATCTTAGGATCTTGCTTCTTTGAGAAACTTGACCCTCCTAATTAAAATAAATATTAGTTTGAACCAAATTCCTTACATGGGTAACTATATAACTCATATATGCATTCTACCTTTCACTGATCCCCACGAGCATATAAAGTGCATTGATTAATTATGATTGATCCTTTACTATAATATCGCAGGCATCTTTCAATGGTATTAACATCTATTGGCATCGTTCTGGACTTGGATGTTGATTTTGTTGTGTTTAAAACTTGATATTAGGTTATGTCTCAGTACAAATGGCCAGAATATTTAGAGACAGATTTTGCGTATGGTATGATTACTTATCATTAAATATGAATTATTTAGATTCTAAATTGAATGCCTTAGCTTTAAGTGGTTTCTCTTGCGGCTATTTTGCACGTACAAAGCTTCTTCCTCAATTGGAACCTCAATGGACCCAAAATTTTTAGCAGCATTTTCATCCGCTGCTGGGAAAAAGTCATTTCAATTATCCGAGTCTGAAGAATCTGACCCAGAGGTAACTAAAAACTTTTCTGAGTGTATGATTGCTGTTCTAACTTGTTGAAAGGATCTGTTATGCTTATTTTTCTGCAATTGGTCTTTTTCTTAAATACTCCTGTGTTTTCAGTGGGGATGCTGGAACACTGATTATGAAGTAAAGAGCCCTTCAATAAGGATCTTATTTCCAACCATTGAAAGAGTGAAAAGTAGTGCTCAAAGTATTCAGCTTTCAAAATACTTGCTTTCTTTCTCAGAGGTAATAGCCAATATCTTATGCTGCTAGCAATTAAACATCAGCTATTGCACTACAATTTATAGAAGAGGAGAGTTTTAATTTATTGAAGAGGAGAGTTTTATTGCGATAATCAAAATAACAGAAGAAAAATAACAAGATACAATTGATCCTCTATTCGAGAGGAGGATATATCTCTGCCAAATCTCTAGATGCCACTATAGCCTAAAAACCTAAACTTAAGAGATCTCAAATTTTAGCCAAATTAAAGAAGCCCTAACCTAGAAAAACAAACTATTTAATGCATACAATTCAAAAGGAAATCCCTAAATAGCCCCTACTTTGAAATTTCCCTCCCAGTGCCCTTCAAAAATCTTCCTAAACAACTCCATAAAGTGTTGGGCTGTTGGATCCTGTGTACAGGAGGCGGAGAACTTCCGCCTATTTCCTGTAAGTCGGTCCCGTATGGACCGGTCCAGTGAACCGGTCTAATAAAACTTAAATGCCATGTGTTCTATTTAACCTATAATATTCTAACCTATTCCATTAGGAAGCACTTCCATGGTTCAATCTAAGTCATCCATTACATGGGATTTAAGCTATTCAATCCAATGCCTCTGAGATCAATCAGCCTAAATTCTTTATAGGTGATATATCGAGCACATTTTCTTTGGTTAGAAATTCAATCTGTGAGAATCTATTGATAACAAAGAATGCCTTCAAAATGAATATGAGAGCCAAGTGTGAGAAGAGGCTGTAAATCAGCAATCAGTTAATATCATATACAATTTTCTTTAACATCCTTATTTTACATATTTTACAGAGATATTGGTCTTTTGAGAACTATTCGTATCGTTTATATGCTTCTCTCCACAGAATACTTGGCAAAGATTAAGAACTAGCCGTATCCTTTACGACGCAGTTCCAAACCCTCCATACAG